GGCCTGCATGGATGTGGGATGGAGAGGGCTGAGGGAGTGAACTATGGCTGGTATAGCTGCTGTGCAGGTGAAACCCAAGGCCAAGGAGCAGCTGAAACTCCCTGCGGACCCCTTGGGAGGACAGGATGGGGAAGTGAAACTGCAGGCTGCAGTCCAGAAAGGCTTACAGGTGCTCTGCGGAGGAGCAGATCGTATTCCTCTGAGCCTTTTCCACATCCAACCGAGATGGAGGATGTCCCTACTTCACAGATGAGGAAATTGAGGCCCAGAGCTTTGAGGTTCCTTCGTTGAGTTGGCACAGAGCAGGTGGCTTTGCTAGCTTGAGCTCTCAACTTTCTAGCACACAAGATGGAATGTACCAAATAAGACCCCAGCTAAAGGCCTGGAAGAAAGTGCCTAGGCACCAGGAATCTTAGAGAAGTCTTCCTGGCATATTTTCCACCTGGCACTTGGGCAGAAACCTACCTTTTAGGGCTGAGGGAGCCTGGAAGAACTTCTAGACAGGAGTCCTGGGGTTCTGTTTACCTTAGAGTCAGAAAAACCTAGATTCCAAACCCAGTCTTGTCCAGTCTTGAATGATTTTTTTTTTTTTTTTTTTTTTTGAGACAGGGTCTATGTAACCCTGGCTGGCCTGGAACTATGTAGACCAGGCTGGTCTCAAACTCATAGTGATTTCGTGAGCTGGGATTAAAGGCATGTGCTGCCATGCCTGGCAAAGTATCTATACTCTTGCTAAAAGAAGGGGCAGGAAGAGGGGGTCAAAAGGAGGCTGGGGAGGCCAGGTGTGGTAGTGCACTCCTTTAATCCCAGCACTTAGGAGGTAGAGGCAGGCGGATCTCTGTGAGTTCAAGGCCAGCCTGGTCTACATAGTGAGTTCCAGGACAGCTGGGGCTACAGCGAGACCCTGTCTCAAAAAGGCCAAAAAAAAAAGGAGGCTGGGGAGATGGTTCAGTGGATAAGAACAATTTCTGTGTAAACATGAGGACCTAAATTTGAGTCCCCAGCACCCATGTAAAAAGCCAGGCAAGCTGGGCATGCTGGCACATGCCTTTAATCCACACCTTTAATCCCAGCACTTGGGAGGCAGAGGCAGGCAAATCGCTGTGAGATTGAGGCTAGCCTGGTCTACATACTGAGTTCTAGCTGAGGCTACAGGGAGACCCTGTCTCAAAAAGACAAAACAAAACAAAAAATCCAGGCAAGGCTGTATGCCTTGTGAATGCAGCACAGGTAAATTCTGATAGTTGGCTGTTCAACCAACTAGCCAAAATGGCAAGCTTCTGGTTCAGTGAGAGACCCTGTCTCAAGGGCAGATAGTAATAAAGACACCCAATATTGGGCAGAAGAGATGACTCAGCAGTTAAGAGCACTGGCTGTTTTTGCAGAAGACCTGGGCTCAAATCCCAGCAACTGCACGGCAGCTAACAACCATCCTTAACTCCAGCTCCAGGGTATCTGATGCCCTAGCCCTCTCCTGTCCTCCCAAGCTTTGCATAACATGTGTGCACTTACATACATGAAGGCTATCATAACACTCATACACATAAAAGGGACACCCAGTATCCTCTTCTGGCCTCCACATCCTCATAGGAGGGTGCTTGTACCTGGTATTCACATGCTTGTGCCACATGTAAATACACAGGCATATAAACAAAGTTTTAAAAAAGATATCTTTGTTGTTGCTGTGGGTTTGTTTTTTCCTGAGACAATCCCACTATGTAGCCCTACCTGGCCTTGACCTCCTGTGTAGACCAGACTGGCCTCAAATTCACAATGATCTGCTTGTCTCTGCCTCCCCAGTGATGGGATTTAAAACATACACCACCATACCTGGCCAGATTTGGTTGTTTAGAGATAGAGTCTCTACTGTAACTCAGACTGGTGGTGAACTATGATGTTGAACTGCTGATCCTCCTACCTCCACCAACCAAGTACTAGGATTATAAGGATGCATCGTCATGCAGCACCATGCCTGACTTGAAAATAAATTATTTTTAATAGGGCCTAATATAGCCCACATTAGTCTAGAACTATGTAGCTGGCCTTGAACTCCTGACCCTCCCAGGTGCCAGGATTACAGATATGCACCTCCATGCCCAACTCCCAGTTTCTGAATTGAAAATCTCTGTTAGATTTTTATTTTTAATTATGTATTTGTGTGCATGTGTGTCTGTGTGTGGGTATGTACATGTGAGTGCAGGTGCCTGTGGAGGTCAGAGACATCTGATCCTCCTGGAGCTGTAGTATGTGAACCACCTGACTTGGGTGCTGGGAATTTAACTTGCATTCTCTGCCAGAGCAGTGCTCGTAACCATGGAGCCATCAAACAAAAATATATTTTTTTTTTGTCTTTTTGAGACAGGGTCTCTCTGTAGCCCCAGCTGGCCTTGAACTCACAGAGATCGCCTGCTTTTGCCTCTCCAGTGCTGGGATTAAAGGCGTGCGCCACCACGCCCGGCCAAAAATATCATTTTTAATTTTTGTTTTGTTTTGGTTTTTGAGAGGGTCTCCCTAGTCCCAGCCTGCCTGGAAGTCACTATGTGCATCAGGCTGGCCTAGACCTCACAGAGCTATGCCTGCCTCCACCTCCTGAGGACTGGGGTTGTTTCTAATTTTTAATTAATTTTTTTTGAGACAGGGTCTCCCTGTAGCCCCAGTTGGCCTTGAACTCATTATGTAGACCAGGCTGACCTCAAACTCACAGAGATCCACCTGTCTCTGCCTCCCAAGTGCTGGTACTAAAGGGATGTGCCACCACACCCAGCTCATTTTTAAATTTTTTTAAATTATTTTTTACATTTTTTGGGGGGGGGATACACATGTCACAGTACATGTGTGGAGGTCAGAGGACAACTTGCAGGAATTCTCACCATGTGGATTCTGGGGATCAAACTCAGGTGGTCAGGTTTGCATAGCATGCACCTTTACCCACTGAACTATCCAGTTCCCTTTCCCCTTCTCCCACACCCACTTCCAACTTGAAATTATCTGAAAGGGATACATACTGCTACAACAGTTCTAGGCAGAAAGTTCTGTGAAGGGGAGAACAGCCGTCTCTTCACCCCATCCAATTCACACACAGCCCAAGACACAGGCCTGGAAGCACCATGTAGATACAGATACTTTATTTGGGGGCAGATCCCAAGCTAGGTTGATGGAAGGAGACAGTAGACCCAAGATACCAGGCTGGGAGCCCAGTGGGCTGGTTGAGACATGAGGTGGTTGAAGGATGCTCTCAGCTGCAGGCACCAGGCCCAGGACAGGAAAGAATGTCAGCCATCAGTGCTGAGCCTGCTTGCTGCCCTGTGCCCACAAAGGCCAGAAACTGGTGGCCAAAGTTTGTCCCACCCCTAGTGCCCACAAGGTGGTCAATAGAACAGCCTCTGAGTCCTCTGTCCCTTCAGGGTGGAGTCCAGGCCCACAGGGGTCAGATTCTGCAGAGGCCAGAGAGAACACTCAGGGGGTGAACCTACCGCCCTCACTCTCCAGAGAGCAGGCTAGAAGAGCAAACACTTTAATGTAGGCTGTACAACCCACCCCACAGCACACACAGCAGGCACACGGGAACCTCGCCCAGCCCTTCCTCAGAAAAAAGCACAGGGCCCATGGCTGCAGCAGGTTGAGGACCGGCTTGGGCTGTCACCTACTGGTTCTCTTCCCTGCTGGCAGCATGAAGGAACAAAGACACAAAGGCTCAGCTGAGCTCTAAGACATTGAACCCTGAGGGTTGAGTCCAGGACCCACCCAACATCTGGCAGGGGCAACCTCAGCTGGGGGACAAAGAAAGGGTATGGCCCCCATGGGATGTTGGGAGGGGAGTTGTCCTTAGGGTTGCCCCATGGGGAATACAGTTGCTAGGCAGGAGGGGGCAGGGAAGGAAGCTGGGACACTGTTGCTGGCCAGGTACTCACAGTGTCTGGTAAGTGCTGTCCTTGGCCTTGAGAAAGCGCAAGACAAAGAAGACCATAGCTTGCAGGCTTAGCACCAGCACAGCACCCCCGATGAAACTAGCTCCATCAAAGCCAGGATTGTGAGATTCAGGGACTGGGGGGCTCCCTGCAGGGTGAGGCAGAGTGGAGTCATAGAGAGTCTTATGGACCAGGATCCCAGACCCACCCCACAACTGGCACTAGACACCTTGAAGCCCCAGTCCTCAAAATGAGGCCTAGACTACTGGGCTCCAAAGTCTAGTTCTGGGCTGGTTCAGTAGTTGAGCTAGTGAGGCCCTGCATTCAATGCCTAGCAACACACACTCACACACACGTGCACACACACACACACACACACACACACACACACAAAATCACGCATGGAGGTCTATCTCTGATCTGGAAAGCTGGTGAAAGGGCTGGGGCTGAGAAGGGTGGACCCTGTCCTGAGTTGTTCTGTGACTTTATGTCATACATACCCTCTCTGGACCTCCTGGTTATATGAGTCCAATAGGTAAGTGGGAACTAAGTCATGACGGAGCACCCTCTACCCTCCTCTCTGTTCTTCACTAATCTAGTAGAATAAGGATGGACCCAGAACTCAGCCACCAGACCACCTTTCACAGAACTTGGAGCAGAGATTAAATGGCATGTTCTTTTCTCAAGATCCCTAAGCCTGCTGTCTTCACTGAGAGGGGAAGGAACCAAGGAGAGGTAGGGCCCAGGGTCATACCCCACTGAGCAGATAGGGGAAGGGGAAACAATGGGCTAGACATGGCCTGTCACCTCTTAGGCAGGTCAGAAGTGGACATCCCAGCTTCCCCTGACCCTTCCCTCTGCTTTCTGAGGGAAGGCCTCACACAGCGGTCAGCAGTCCAGGTTTGAGTGGCTCCCAGCTGTGCCATGTTACCCATCAACTCCCACCAGGGATTTGATTTCAGGCCTTGGGCCAGTTGCCCAGGGCAGGACAGCACTAGTAGGTAGATCATTCTGGGACAATGGTTAGGCGCCTGGGAGTAGAGTCCCCTTCCAAGAGGACATAGTGCAAGACTGTAAGAACACAAAGGAGGAAGAATGGCCCTGACTAAAGCTCTGAGAACTAGAAGGAAGGACCCTGGGGGAAGAGGACAGAAATGCAAAAGAAATGAGCTACACACAGCAGATCTGGGGCTCAAGCAGAGGGAGCCGAGCCATCAATAATTTATTCTCTGAGATCAGTTTCCGGCTTTAATTAACTAAGAGCCTCTTGAGCCATCCTGGCCAAGTTTGGTGACCTCTAGGTCCCAAGGGGGAGTGGGAACCTAGAGGAAGTTGAAGTTCTTGCCCCTGCTCTGCTGGAAGTCTACTTTGGGACCCTCAGGTTGAAGTAGGTAGTCACTGAGGACATCTCTTAGCAACTGGAGCCACACCTCTTTGGCTCCAAGCATAAGTCTGAAGGGGTCACCCTGAGTTCCCAGAACTGGAAGAGGGTTCAGAAGCTGCAATTTATTTACTACGTTCTATGTGTCAGACGCTGAACTGGGCCTTACACAGCTTCATAAAATCCTCAGGTAAGCTGTGAGGAAAGTATCATCCAATCCATCTTATAAATGTAGTGACAGACACAGGGAGCACTCAGAGCATCGAGATCACAAACCATGTCAGTGCCCACATCCCACTCCACCTTTCCCTGCTGCCCTTGTCCTCCTACCATCCATTCCCTGGGGAGGACCTACCTGTTGTGCTTGACTTCGGTTCATGGGTGGGGTGGTAGGAAGCTGAGGAGACAGGGAGTCCATAATAAAACAGCCCCCCACCTTCCCATCAGGACCCCAGTCTGAGTTGTCAGCTTACTTCCACTCAGGTCACACCCGTGTCCCCACTCAAGCCTGGCCACCCAATCACTCCAGAAGCTGTGATCTCTCCATCTTTATCTATAAGGCTCATCTCTAATACCACCTGCTCCAGGAAGACCCTCTCCCTTCTACATCTATTTACAGGAAGCAGTCGCTTCCCCAGCCCCTTGGAACCCCTGGACCAATTTGCAGGTGAGGACACCAGTCAGGGAGGAAAGGGACTTCTCTGTGAGCTAATTGTAGATTTGAAACTGGCTCCAGCTGTTTGTGGGTCTAATCCACTCCCTGAGAGAGAGAAGCTGGTTTCTCCTGAAAGCAGGCTGTGGCTGGTGTCACCTCAGCTCCCTGTCTTCATGTTGATTCTCTTTGAACTCTCTTACCTGGGCATGACTCTGAGCCGTTGTAGACAGAGCAACCCTCCTTGGCCACCTCAGCTTGGGCCACACAGTGCCCTGGTGGGAGAAGGGGCAGGAGAAAAGATTTGGGAAGAAGGTTCAGAGCTGGAGGGCAATGGACTTGGGGACGTCCCAACTACATACCTGGCTCCTCTGGCCGACACTGCTCCCAGACGCAAACCGAGAGGTTGTGGGCTCTGTCCACCTCCAAACAACGTTCACAGTGCTCGGCGTGTTTGCAGCCCCCTTGGGCAGCTGGCCAGACGTTCAGGCGGATCAGGGCTCCCCGCCCAAAGCCTGGAGCTCCTTTACCTGGGAGTAAGGTGGAAATGGGAAGGAAGCCGCAGTGCCAAGTTGCAGCACCTTTCCCCACGGCAGCACCTCTCACCCCCTCCACAAGCCCTTGGTTACAATAACCTAGCCTGTCCCCAACCCCTCTCCCCAGTCCCTTCCTTTACATACACTGCATACGTCGAGAAAATTCCCTTTCCTGAGCCTTGATGTACCCAAGCAGGCGGTTAAAGTAAGGTATAGGCTCCACCTGCCCCTGCCTGGACCCCTAATCAGATCCTGCCCCGCGTTACCAGCCACAGCCAGCTGGGCACACAGGAGGAGGCAGCAGCAACCGCCGCAGAGCGCAGCCCGCAAGGTGTGGGGTCCGGGTGCGGCCATGGGCGCGGGGACTGGGGTTGGGGTCTGTGGTCAACTGGTGTGGCGCGTCCCTTCTAGACTCTGCTCGCCTGGAGCCTGGGGGGCATGGTCATGTGGGCGAGGTCAGAACCTGGCCTATGGGCGGGCCCAGGTAGGCTCTGGGTGGAGCAGAGCCCCAGAAGGCGGGGCCGAAGAGGTGTGGCTATGTTGGGTGATCTGGGGCGGAGCTTGGAGAGGGGGCGGTGTCGGGACTAAGTTCAGCCGGGTATACTATGACTTTAATCCCAGCACTCAGGAGGCAGGGGCAGGCAGATCTCTGTGAGTTCGAGGCCAACCTGGTGTACATAGCGAATTCCAGGCCAGCAGGGGTTACAGGGAGACCCTGTCTCAAAAAGACCAAAAGAAAAAGAAAGCACTAGACACTTGTGTGACTGGTACTGGGGGTTGAATTTAGGTCCTGTTTTTAATCCCTGCCTCACAGGTAAGGTTTAGAAAAGGTGAATTACCAGTCCAAGACCACAGTGGCAAAAATGTGTATTTAGCTCAGGCCAGGGCACATAGCATGCATACTGGCCCCTCACCTTTGGCTGCCCATGCCCAACTATGTGCTCCCTTCTGCTTCGGGCTGACCACACCCTTGGGCCAAGTCATGGGTCATGCAATGACTAGCTCACTGGGCCTTTGGCAGTCTTCCACATGTCCCCTCTCCTTCACCAACCAGTTTTTTTTGGTTGTCCCTCTGCAGCCACTTCAGGTACCTTAGGGGGCACCTCTTCCTCTTTCTCCCCACAATTCCCTTAACTAGTTGTGGCCAGTTTAGTCCTGAGCTCTAGTCCTCTTCTGGAATTATTTTGCTTGTTCCTCAGCCATCAGGCTTCATTTAAAAGCCAGCAAGCACATGGTGGCTCACACCATGATCTCTCTGTGAGATCAAGGCCAGCCTGGTCTACATAGCAAATTCCAGGCCAGCTGGAGCTACAGGGAAACCCTGCCTCAAAAACAAAACAAAACAAAACTAGATTAATTAAAAGCCAGGAGAACACATACCCATAATCCTAGCACTTGAGAGGCAGAGACAGGAGAATTGTGGATTCCAGGCCAGCTTGGGCTACAAAACAAGACCCTGAAAAAAAAAAAGCGCAAAACCAGGTTGGAGATGGAGCTCAATGATAAAGCACTTGCTTGACTTGGCACTTACTTACAAGGTCCTACCTCTGGTCCTCAGAACAATAATAATAACAACAACATCAATAATAAAATAATGGCCAGTAAGTCTCTAATCTCCATCTCCAGGCTAGTCCTGGCTCCACAGTCATCACACCTGTAACTGAAAACCAGTGCTAACCAGCAGTGACCCCTTCTCACCAGCAGAGCACTGAACACATTCTACTCAGCCCACATCTGCCCATGGCATGTCTTCAGTCTGCAGCCTGCCCCAGGGGCAGTTACAATGCTGCTGAGCCTCCTGGGGGTGCCTGCTTCTTGTGCACCTCCACCTGAGTGCCATTAAGCCTCTGGTCCCTTTCCTCCATGGAGGGAAGCCCCATCCTCTCTGTTCCCCTCATTCCCTCCATCACCAGGTTGGACCCCATTGTTTTGTCTTCACCCCAGCTCCCACCCCTATTAAAATCCTCAGATTTGGGGGCTGGAGAGATAACTCAGCAGTTAAGAACATTTGCCATTCCTCCGGAGGACCTGAGTTCTATTCCAAGCACCACTTGGTGGCTAACAACCATCCATAACTCCAGTTCCAGGGGATCCCACACCCTCTTCTGGCCTCTGTGGGCATTGTAAGCACATGGTGCACTTACATATATGCAGGCAAAACACTCATACATGTAAAATAAAAATAAATTTAAACCAAAATAAAATCTTCAGATTCCATCTTGTGTCTCCTGGGTCCTGACCCTCCAGTTCCTCCCTGAGCTGGCTGTCATATATTTTGTCCACATCTCTTCCGGCTAACAGGTTGCTAGCAGTAGCGTAGCCTCCCTGACCCTTGGATTCTTGACTCTCAATGAGTCTCTAGCTTGACTTTCCTTATCACCACTTGCTTCCAAGAAGACACATCTCTGATTTTGCTTTTAACCTAGCTCTTCTCTGTCCTCCTCTGCCCTTGACTCCAACTGTCCAGCTAAGTCATCCTTCAAGCCACCACCAAGCCAGATTCTGTTCATTCCTTAACCCCATCAACACCTTCCAGCTCATGGTTTTCCATCACCAGTGGGAGTCTCTCTGTCCACCTTGTGCTCATTTATCTCCTCTGTTCATTCAGCCCCTTCTCTGCTCCTCCCACTCTTTCCTTCCTGGGGAATCTGTGCACTAGCTGTGCCCTGTCCTTGAAACTCATCTGTTCTCCCTTCAAGTGACTCATTCTGTGACCTCTCTACTGAAAAGACATCTCCTGCCTAGTCTCCATCCCAGCAATTGCTTTCTTTTGGAGCATGCATCCAATGTATAATTAATTGCCCTTTTGTTTCCTGATCTACGAGCTCCACAAATCCGGGAACCATGGCTATCTTCTTCCCTAGTGAACACCCTTGGGCAAGGTGAAGTAGATGTTGATTACCAGCTATCTTGCTGGTGATGACCATTTGCATACATGTTTGTCCAGCCTCTAGTCAGTGAGACCATTAAGGTCTCCTCAGACTTGCTATTCAGCATTTCTTTATATTTTGTCCATTTAAAGGGGAAATTCCTGGAAAAAGGCAGTGGTTTTTGCTTATTATAGTATATATTCTCCGTGCCAGGAAAATAGTAGATACTTGATTTGTACTAAAGTGGGAAATGCAGAAATGCAGCCAGAGAATTGCTCTGTCCCTCACACCCACCAAAACCCAATACCTGGAGCGTATTAACGAAAATTGGTTGAGGCTGGGTGTGGTGGTGCCTGCCTTTAATCCCAGCACTCAGGAGGCAGAAGCAGAGGAAGGCAGCTCTCTGTGGGTTCAAGGCCAGCCTGGTCTACATAGTGAGTTCCAGAACAGCTTGGGCTACAGGGAGACCCTGTCTTAAAGAGACCAAAAAACAGGGGCTGGAGAGATGGTTCAGCGGTTGAGAGCACTGACTGCTCTTGCAGAGGACCCGGGTTTGATTCCCAGCACCCACATGGCAACTATGAACCATCCTTAACTCCAGTTCCAGGGGAATCTGAAGTGCTCTGCTGACCTCCAAGGCATTGCATGCAGGCAATACACTCATACACATAAAATAAGCCGGGTGTGGTAGCCCACGCCTTTAATCCCAGCACTTGGGAGACAGAGGCAGGCAGATCTTTGTGAGTTCAAGGCCAGCCTGGTCTACATAGTGAGTTCCAGGACAGCTGGGGCTACAAGGAGACCCTGTCTCAAAAAAGACCAAAAAAATTATTTTTTTAATTTATTTTATTTTATTATTTTTATTTTATGTGTATGAGTGTATTGCCTGCATGTAGGTAAGTGCACCCATGTCATGCATTGCCTGCAGAGGATAGAAGGGACTGTCAGATCCCCTGGAACTGGAGTTATGGACAATTGATAGCTGCCACGTGGGTGCTTGGATTTGAACCAAGGCCTTCTGCAAGAACAGTCAGTGTTCTTATCTGCTGAGCCATCCTCCAGCCCCCCCCCCAAATTTTTTTTAAAGACCAAAAAACAAAAAACAATAAAATAATAGAATAATAGAAAAAAAGTTCACAGCTGGGGCTACAGGGAGACCCTGTCTCAAAAAAGACCAAAAAGAAAAACAAGCAAAAAAACCCAAAAAAACAAAAAAAAAACTGCCTTGGCTTGGTTCACATTCCAGTTCTTGACTTCATGAAATGTGAGCTCTGCTGGGCATGGTGACACATGCCTTTAATCCCAGCACTTGGGAGGCAGAGGCAGGCAGATCTCTGTGAGTTCAAGGCCAGCCTGGTCTACATAGTGAGTTCCAGGCCAGCTGGAGCTACAGGGAGACCCTGTCTTAAAGAGACAAAAAAAAAAAAAAAAAGTGGGCTCTGTCTCTTAACTTTGTAGGGCTATTGGTGGGAAAGGTTACTGGTTATTGGTGGGTGTGTCAGTGGTGGGGAGGAAGTAGAGATGGGAAAGAGGGCCCAAGGAGGGGCTGTCCCTTTGGCTAGAGAGAAGCTTGGGGAAGAGAGAACAGATAAGCAAGTTGTCCTCAGCCAGACATGGTGATTCACACGTACAATTCTAGCTGAGCAGGATTCCCACAAGTCTGAGGCCAGCCTGGTCTACATAGTAAGTTCCAAGTCAGCCTGGACTACAAAGTGAGACTGTCTCAAACCCAGCATGTGTGCATACACACGCACATACACACACAAGTTGCCTCTTGGGAAAAGTTGTTCCGTGAGCAACTTTTAGTGAATGAGAAAATCCATTGCCTCTGTCTCAGAATCTCCAAGCTTTCTCAGGATTAAAACCACCCTCACTGGGGCTGGAGAGATGGCTCAGTGGTTAAGAACACTGGTTGTTCTTGCAGAAGACCTGGGTTCAAATCCCAGCACCCACATGGCAGCTAACAACTATCTGTAACTCCAGTTCCAGGGGATCCGACAGCCTCTTCTATCCTCCGCGGGCATTGCATGGCACGGGTGCACTTACCTACATGCAGGCAATACACCCATACACATAAAATAAAAATAAATAAAATATTAAAAAAAAACAAAAACCACCCTTACTCCTCCCAAGCAGCCAGAGGGGCAAGCTCCATCAAGAAGGACACAGGGTCAAGCTAAATATGGAAGTTCATGACCATGTGCCTACTTCAAAGGAAACAAATGGTCACTGGTTCTTCACCTTGGAATAGCCACAGTAACCAAGACAGAAGTTAAAGGAAAACTAGTCAAAATGTCCAAGATCACCCAGGATGCCATCTTTATATTTATGTTCGAGCCTGTTTTGGTGATGGAACACAACTGGCTTGGGTAGGATTTATGGTTATTTTGTAAAGAAAAATTACTCCATATACAGGATCTGGCCTGTATGAACGGAAGAAGACCTCAAGACCTTAACAGCTGTAGGGACAGGTGGACAGGATGAAGATGGCCAAAGGCCAGTGTTGGAGCGGACTAACAGAAGAGTCTGCAAGGACCTGACCTACAGTGCTGGGATGTTTTTTTTTTTTTTGTCTTGTTTTATTGGCACTGGGTCTCATGTATTCTGAGCTGATCTCAAACTCTCAATAGCTGAGGATGATCTTGAACTCTTGATCGTCCTGTCTCTATCTCCCAAGAGGTGGAATTACTGGCATGTGCCATCAGACCCAGCATGACAGTTTCCACCAGTAGTCAGCAGACTATGAAAACTGTCACTTGGAAGAGCAGGCATCTTTCATATGCCACTTTCATCCCAACCTCCCAGCACCCTATTCCCTTCTCTGAGACTAGAGCTCTGTTGAGACCTTGCTCAGAAGCAGGAGGGAAGCATTTCTTTTTTTTTTTTTTTTTTTTTTTTTTGAGACGGGTCCCCCTTGTAGCCCCCATTGTCCTGGAACTCACTATGTAGACCAGGCTGGCCTCGAACTCACAGATATCCGCCTGCCTCTGCCTCCCAAGTGCTGGGATTAAAGGCGTGCACCACCATGCCTGGCATATTTTATTATTTTTATTTTATGTGTATGAGTATTATGCCTGTTTGTAGGTAAATGCACCTGTGTCGTGCCAATGCCCACGGAGGACAGAAGAGGCTGTTGGATCCCCTGGGACTGGAGTTACGGACAGTTGTTAGCTGCCATGTGGGTGCTGGGATTTGAACCCCGGTCTTCTGCAAGAACAGTCAGTGTTCTTAACCACTGAACCATCTCTCTAGCCCCAGGAAAGTAGATTTCTAAGTCTTGGGATGCTGATGCCCTTGTCCTGCCTCATGGACACACCCCCATCAGACCTACTGCCATTTTCCCTGTGTTTCCTCTCTTTCTGACTGCTGCTGTTTAGTTTCATCATCCAACCAACAATATTTATTGAGCACCACTGCCTGTCACACACCGTCTCCAGCACAAGCCAGATCACAGTCACTGCTGTCAGAGCTTATAGACTGACACATAGCAAACCTAGAATGTGAGTGAAAATATTATTTTAGGAGTGCTACATGCTCTAAAAAATAACAAATAGAGGGGTTGGGAGAGATGGTTCAGCACTTAAGAGCACTGTTTGCTCTCACAGAGGACCTGAGTTTGAACCCCAGCACCCACACGGCAGCTAACAATTGTCTTTAACTTCAGTTCCAGAGAATACTATGCCTTCTTCTAGCCTCTGTGAGCATTGTATGCATGGGTCCACCTACATATATACAGGCAAAACATTTATACACATAAAAGAAAATTTAAAAACAATTAGAAAAAGGGAGGGAGAAGGATGGGGAAGTGTAGCCCTCTGTAACAGAGTTCTGGAAGCCTGTTTTGGAAGAAGCAGCTAAAAGCAGAGATCTGGAGAGAGCAAAGAAAACAACCAGTGGAAAGGGCCTAGCAACAGGAGTGCCTCGTCCAGCCTGGCCCTTCAAATGCAGAGCTCCCTGTGGCCACTCCCCATTCTGTTCCCTCTAGACTAGTGCTTCCCTATGCCTCCTGGGTGTCCTCTACTGGCCAGATATACTATTGACAGCCAGTGTACATAGCCAGTACTGATAATGGGTAGGACCCCTCCCAATAGTCCTGAGGTAGGTACTAACATATGTTAGAGGTTGGAAAACATGTTCAGAGAGCTTGTAAAACTCCTCAAAGTCACACAGCCAAGATATAGAGGAACTGGGACTTGAAGGTAGTCTACTCCTGGCCTCCTTTACTGGCTGAACACCCCAAACTCACCACATCCAACCTGAAATATGCCACTCTCTCCAGCCCAGGTTCTGTCATCCGCCATGTTCCCTGCCTCTTGGGCCTCTTAATGTCTCATACCCCAAGCCTGAAACCCACCCACTGGATCCTGACTGCAGGGCCTGCAGGGGTGCTGGCACCAGAAGAGGAGTCTGGTGAGCTTGAGATCCTGGCTCCACTGTTTTCCCCATGCCTCACCACCCTCCTGGCAGGCTTGGGTGACTCCAGAGAGAATCAAAGCTGGACACAGAGGAAGGAGAGGCTGCCCCCTCCCCTAGGACTGTCCCTGTGGGATAGGGCAAGTAGGGTTAGCAAAGGGAGTTAGTTGCTTTCTCCCCACCCCACCCACTAGGATGCCTAAGATGTGAGGTTCAGAAGAGCCATCCTGAGGATGGACCTGCTTCCAAGTTCTTCCCCGCTCCCCATCTCCTGCCTCTTCGGGGAAGTGACCCCCCCCCCTTTGCTGGCTTTCCAGATCCTTGAATAAATAATTCAGGTTTTGAAATCTTGCCAGGCACACCCTCCCGGTTTGAGAGGGCGCTATTGGACCTACATGAGTGACATCATCCACCTCCTTATCCCAGCTCCAGCATCACGGGACCTGTCCTAGCAGCAATTTACCTACCAGGTCACTACCTATCAGACTTCCTATCCTGTTCCCTCACTTGGGGCTCACTCACAAGTCACTTGGCATCTTCATTCCAGGACCCTACAGCCTTCATTTAAGCTTTGTAACCTCAGTACTTCACTTGACAGGGTCACAATGACCTGAAGTTCTTTCATCTGGATATTCCATCTTCAAAGCCTTGTCACCACCTCTGCCACCCTGGGATCCCCACACTGAACTCCATCAGCTGCAGAGTCACTCTGACATTGCTGTCATGGCCCTGAGGAGCTCTACCCTCCTCTACCGCCAGCATCCCTCAGCCACCAGCCTCCCAAACCCTGTCACCCTGCGTCACAGCCACCCACCTCCCTGCTCCCTCGTGCTCCTGTCACTGTCACCTCAAGGCCCTTAATAGAGACAAACCCCGTCATTCTCACCGGGGACGCCCATTCAGCCCCATCACTCGGCCTCCCAGCACCTGTCTTGTCATCACCCACACAGACTATCCTGGTTCCTTTTCTGCTTCCCACATCCTCTGCAACCTCCCTAGGTATTCACGGTTCTCCCGCCAGCACCCCAAAGCCCCGGCCCGCAGAGGGCGCCGCGTCAAGGACAGCGCTGGCCAGCGTTGGAGGGGGCGGGGCCGCAGCTACGGAGTCTTTTTATGAATGGGGGAGCGGGCGGTGCGAAGCCTCATTACTATGCCGCGCAAGGCGCGCTGAGCTCCAGCGCGCTGCGCCCATTGGCCGACCCGGCCTCTGACGTCACCAAGCCGGTGGCCGGGGGCGGGGCGGGGCGGGGTGACTCACGCCGCTTCTCCCGCGGCCGCGGGGGCTTCTAGGGGTCCGCGCACACCTTGCTCTGCCGGGACCCGAGCCGAGGCTCCCCGCAGGTCTGGAGCGGTGAGTAGCGGGCCCTGCTGCGGGTACCCAGCGTCCGGGAGGGCACGCGGGATGCTGGGGCACTGGGCGGTGGAAAGGTGCCTGCGGATGGGATGGTCCGGGGTCGGAGGTCGAAGCTGGCATTCTGGGTTGGCAAGATTCTGCGTTTGCAGGCGACACCCCAAGTGTGCGGGTGCTTGGTTGGGGTGACCTAGCGAAGGATGAGCAGTCTTGCAGGACCCAGAGGCCCTGGAGGGACCGACGGTCATCTAAATCTAAGGTTGAACCAGCGGAGACGTCTGGGGCAGGAACCCAGGTGTCCCAGCAGCCGGAGGCGTCTGATTTAAGGATTCAGCTACCCTGGCAGGAGGCGGAGTCAGGCCCCAGATCCAGGTGTCCCGACCAAAGGAGGGGTCAGGAAGCCCGGCGTCCAACCGGGGGATGTCTGCTACCGAGACCCAGGGGTTAGGCTTCAGAAAAAGGGGTCTGAATACAGAAGTCTGGAAAGAGTGTAGAGGAACTGAGTTCCGCGGTGTTACCCCAGGAATGTCGGGTGGGGGCTGGCAGGAGCTTCACGCGCTTTCCCTGGGGGCGGAGCCAGAGGCTGGCAGGGCTGGAAATCGTGAGGGGTCTGGGAGGCTCGGGAACGAGTCATCCTCTCTGATGGGAGGAAGGTGAACCGTCCTCCTTCTTGGCCAATCTTGGCCAATCTTCCTACCCCAATCTTGGCCTTTTCAGGACATACCTTCAGTCCTGTGGTCCCCCGTTCACTTATGGTAGCCTTGATCCACTTCTCTGATTACTTCTCTGGTCACACGCAGCCAAAAGGCCTGCTGTAGGACAGAGAGGATTGGAAGACGGGGTGGACACCCGGGATAGGAATCTCCAGGAAAAGACCCCTGTTTAGAGGCCTAGTGTCATCAGAGAGGAGGACAGAGTATCCTGACAAGAGCCTCAGGGCATGAATTAGAGGGCATTGGTTCCCTACCAGCTGCCCTGAGAGGTACCTTTCTCCCTTCAGGTACCTCCTGCCAAGACCAGGCCTGCCAGTGTCTCACAGGGCCTTTCTCCTGCAGGTGCCATGATGTGGGGTGCAAGCAGCTCCCTGGCCTGGCTCTCAGCTGGCCCAGGCAATGTGAACGTGAGCATTGTGGACCCAGCAGAGGAGCCCACAGGCCCATCTGCACTGCTGCCCTCTCCCAGGGCCTGGGATGTGGTGCTGTGCATCTCAGGCACCCTGGTGTCCTGCGAGAACGCACTGGTGGTGGCCATCATCGTGGGTACACCTGCCTTCCGTGCCCCCATGTTCCTGCTGGTGGGCAGTTTGGCTGTGGCAGACTTGCTGGCAGGCTTAGGCCTGGTCCTGCACTTTGCTGCTGTCTTCTGCATCGGCTCTCCAGAAATGAGCCTGGTGCTTGTTGGTGTGCTGGCGATGGCCTTTACTGCCAGCATTGGCAGCCTGCTGGCCATCACTGTCGACCGCTATCTTTCCTTGTACAACGCCCTCACCTACTACTCAGAGACAACAGTAACTCGGACCTATGTGATGCTGGTCTTGGTGTGGGTGGGTGCCCTGGGCCTGGGGCTGGTCCCTGTGCTGGCCTGGAACTGCCAAGATGGCCTAACTACGTGCGGCGTCGTGTATCCACTCTCCAAGAACCATCTGGTGGTCCTGGCCATTGCCTTCTTCATGGTGTTTGGCATCATGCTGCAGCTCTATGCCCAGATCTGCCGCATTGTCTGCCGCCATGCCCAGCAGATTGCCCTCCAACGACACCTGCTGCCTGCCTCTCACTACGTGGCCACCCGAAAGGGCATCGCCACACTGGCCGTGGTGCTTGGCGCCTTTGCCGCCTGCTGGTTGCCCTTCACCGTCTACTGCCTCCTGGGTGATGCCCACTCCCCAATCCTCTATACCTATCTCACTCTGCTCCCTGCCACCTACAACTCCATGATCAACCCTGTCATCTATGCCTTCCGCAACCAAGACGTGCAGAAGGTACTGTGGGCCATCTGCTGCTGTTGTTCTTCTTCCAAGAGCCCCTTTCGGTCCCGCTCCCCCAGTGACGTCTAGTTACATCCTGGTAACCCTGCAGCCCTTACTGCTACAGAATTCCAGAATGTTAAGTCTGCCTAACTGGGACTTTGTTCCAACTCCCCAGCTCTACACCCCTAAGATCCAGCTGGCTCTGGAGTTCTAGGACATTGGGTGTTTCAGGATTTTGTTCAAGATCCCTGCAGGGACCCAGCTGGCTACATGGTTCAAGAATGTTCCAGATGGTCAGGGTTCCACTCAGAAATGTCTCACAGCCTAAGTGGCTTGCAATTCCAGAATGCTGGGAATTTTACAGTGCCATTCCAGGACCTCGATCTTCCCCTCCCTGAAACTTGACCTTGGCCATGTTAGTTTACTTTTGAATTTTGGACTGCAGAGTCAGAGAGGTTAGTCACTTAGTTGCCTAGATGAGAGAAAGATTTATCTATCTATCTATATATATGTATGTGCACATACAAAGAAAGTATATTTATTATTTATTTATTTATAAATTTATTTAAGTGTGGTGAAGGGGAAAAAAAAAGAGACCCACACCTTGAAATCTAGGCCATACCAGGGTATCCCCAACCCCCACATCCCCATTTCTGACCTCAGTTCCTTGAGGGGAAATGGAGAAAGAGAAACCACGTATTTTGTTATTATTTGCTTATTTTTTATCGAAGAGATCATAGAAACCAGAGCCTTCTCCCCAGGCCTGCACCCCTCGGGTTTGCAGGGAGAACACACCAGCCTCTGGTTTTTTATTTTTTTAAGAAGCCATCACCTGAGCAACCGAGAATTCCTCTGCGCTGGGGCCCGGCTTCCCTCTGGTGGCCATTTGAGGGAATTGCAACCCGGTGAAGCAATCCCAAACCCCATTCCAGTCTGGTTTCCAGCGCCATAGCCATGGCCTAGGGGCCGGACCTTACCCTGAGGTGCCCTAGAGGAGGCGGGGCAAGAGCCAACACCCCACCCCTCTGCCAACCGGGGTATGGCCCCCAGTGCATTCCTTGTTCTAGTCCCCAACCTTAATCAATAAAAAATGATTTTGTGATAAATACATGAGTGTATTTGTGTGTGTGTGCAGGGTGTAGAGTTGATTCAAGATAGGGGAACCTGGTGAAGAATCTGGGAATCTGGGAATCTGGGACCCAGGGTGGAGTGTGGCTGATCTCCCTGGATGTCAGTGCTCCTCTGGTCAGACCATGGGCATCACCTGGGCAAAAACCTCACCTTCCCAAGAGAGGAACCAGGTACAGGGCTCTTCTTAGTTTGAGGACACATCCTGTCCTGCCCACAGTAGCCAGCTTAGGGCTCTGGCATGAAGAATAAGTTCCTGGCATGTTAAAGTTTCCTTTGTAAGAATAGCTGTTTCCTTCTAATAGTGCATGTTTCCTCTGGGCTCGGCATTGGGCTGCAAATGCCTAGCAAGCACCAGCATAGGTAATACTGTCTCCACTTTACAGATGAGAAGACCAAGGCTGACTCAGCTAATGTAATACACCTAGAAACTACCAGACAAGATTCATACTAAGAACATCTGTTTCCAGAACCTGTGTTCGGTCCCCTAAGCAATGACCTCTCGCTTCCTTTTTGTGCTTATATCAGGGCCACTGGCCTACATTTGGGAGGTAGTCACATTGGTAGTCTGGCCATTGTGGAGCTGGAAAAGCTTTTCCATGTAAAGGTGAATGACAAGAAGTGTGTGCTATTGGGGACCTGAGCTCGGGGACTTAGGAGGGGAGGAAGACCCCTGCATTCATCAGCCAAGGGCAGAAGCAGCTCAAGAGGAAGCTCTGGACTAGTGTGGTACATGCCTGTATTTCCAGCACACAGAGAATTGTAAGTACTAGGTTAGCCTCAGCTACATAGTGAATTCAACACCAGCCTGAGCTACATAGGAAGACCCTATCTCAACACACCTAAGAGCTGGGGCTGTAGTTCAATGGTAGAGTGCTGGCAAGGCTCTGGAGTTCATCTCCAGCAACACATACACACACACACACACACACACACACACACACACACACACAAATAAAAAAGCCAAGTGTGGTGGCACATGCTGGAAATCCCAAAACTTGGGAAGTGAGGGCAGAAGGATCAGGAATTCAAGGCCAGCCTGGACCACTTAAGACCCCACTACAGAATAAATAAATAGGGGCTGGAGGGGTGGCTCAGTAGTTATAAGCACTTGCTGCTCTTCCAGAGGATGTGAGTTTGGTTACCAGCACCCATGTCAGGTGGCTCACAATCACCTGTTGCTCCAGAGGGATCCAACGATCTCTTCTGGCCTTGGCAAACACCTGTACCCACATGGCATAGACACACATATACTCTTAAATAAAAATAAAAATAACATCATTTAAAAAATAAGGAAGTCAAGGGTGGTGGCGCACACCTTTAATCCTAGCACTCAGGAGGCAAAGGCAAGCAGATCTCTATGAGTACAAGGCCAGCCTGGTCTACATAGTGAGTTCCAGGCCAGCTGGGGCTACAAGAAACCCTGGTACAAAAAAAAAAAAAAAGATACATAAATAAATAAGCTCTGACTAGCCCAGCCTTCCAGGCCTTTCAGTTGTGCCAAAGTCTGGAGGAGGGGCCATCAGAGCACTGTTTGAGCCATTCCACCATGACACAAATGGAGAGACTGAGGCCCAAAAAGGACCACCTACTTGCTCAAGCTCACTCAGTTGAGTCAGGCCTGCTAGGACACACTTCTCTGTTTCTCAGGCTGAAGTTTTGTTTTTTGTTTTTTTGTCTTTTTGAAACAGGGTCTCCCTGTAGCCCCAACTGTCCTGGAACTCACTATGTAGACCAGGCTAGCCTTGAATTCAGAGAGATCTGCCTGCCTCTGCCTCCCAAGTGCTGGGCCTAAAGACATGTACCACCACACCTGGCTTAGGCTGAAGTTCTTTTGCTTGGAGTTCAAGGCCCCTTCCCAATAGTGGCCACAGGAGTCCAAGGGGATGGACATGCCAACAGGCCCAGCTACAAAGTGGGTGATGCCCAGGCAGTTTAAGCACACCCTTGTCTGTCTCTCTACCCAGCTTCTTGGAAGGTCCCTGAGATGAGACCTCTACTCCAGAAGTGTCTGTTCCAGCCAAACTTGAAGCCAAACATTTCACATACCAGCACCACGGTATCAATGGTGCAAGTGCTCTCTCTACTTTAAAAAAATTTATTTATTTTTTTATTTTTATTTTTTATGTGTATGCATGTATTACCTTGTAGGTAAGTGCACCCATGTTGTGCAATGCCTCGGAGGTCAGAAGAGGCTGTCGGATCCCCTGGGACTGGAATTATGGACAGTTGTTAGCTGCCATGTGGGTGCTGGGATTTAAACTGTAAGAACAGCCAGTGTTCTTAACCACTGAGCCATCTCTCCATCCCCTCTCTCTATTTTTTAAAAAAATATTTTATTTAGTCAGGCATGATGGCATATGCCTTTAGTCCCAGCACTCAGGAGGCAGAGGCAGGCAGATCTCAGTGAGTTCAAGGCCAGCCTGGTTTACATAATGAGTCCCAGGCTAGCTGGGACTACAGGGGGACTGTCTCAAAAAGACCAAAAAAGAGCCGGGTGTGGTGGTGCATGCCTTTAGTCCCAGCACTCAGGAGGCAGGGGCAGGAAGATCCTCTGTGAGTTCGAGGCCAGTCTGGTCTACAGAATGAGTTCCAGGAACCTGGAGCTACAGGGAGACCCTGTCTCAAAAAGATCAAAAAAAAAAAAAAAAGAAAAAATTTTTTTATGTATTATTTTATGTGTATGAGTGTCTTGCTTGAATGTAGGTAGGTGTGCTTGTGTCATGCAGTGCCCTTGGAAGACAGAAGAGGGTGTCAGATCCCCTGGAACTGGAGTTGCAAATAGTTGTTACCCACCATGTGGGTGTTGGAAATCAAACCTGGATCCTCTGTAAGAGCAGTCAGTGGGCTTAACCACTGAGCCATATCCCCAGCCCCCTCTCTCCACTTTTAAATAAATTGAATGCTGGGTGTGGTGATGCACATAATCCCAGCACTGGGAGCTGGAGGCAGAAAGATCAGAAGTTCTAGGCCAGCCTCAGCTTCATTGTGAGTTCAAGGCCAGCCTGGGCTGCAACAGCCCCTACCTCAAAAACAAAAATAACAGCAGGGCATGGCAGCACCTGCCTTTAATTCCAGCAGGCAGAGGCAAGCAAGCAGATCTCTGTGAGATAGAAGCCAGTCTGGTCAAGTTCCAGTCTTGCTGGGGTTACAGGGAGACTCTGTCTCAAAAAAGCAAAGCAAAACAAAATAACAAACAGCAACAGCAAAAAACAAAGCTAGGAGAAAGGAAGCTCTGGGGTAAATTGGGCATGATGGCGCAAGTAACGCTGCAGTCCCAGCAACTGAGGCAGGAATAATGCAAGTTCAAGGCCTACCTGGGCTACTGAAACTCAGAGTAATAATAGGTCATCTTGTGGACAGCTTAAAGTCTAGTGGGGGAAATAGCAATAACAGAAAATGTTTTTAAAAACTGTACTATGTGGGACTGGAGAGATGGCTCAGTGGGTAAGAGGACTGGCTGCTCTTGCAGAGGACCTGAGTTCAGTTCCCAGAACCCACATGGTGGCTAACAACCATCTGTAACTCCAGTTCCAGGGGATCCAACACCCTCTTTTGGCCTCCACAGGCATTGTATGACACAGGTACATTTCTATACATGCAGACAAAACACTCATACACAGAAAATAAAAATTAATTAATTAAAAAATAAACAAATTGCACTGTTAGCAATTGCATCTTCAAAGAAAAAATTCATAGGGAATATGTAAGTAATTTTAAGATGAAGGGGCAAACGAAAGGCCTTTTTAGGAGCTGGGGTTGTCACTCGGTAGAGGGCTTGTCTAGCATGCGTGAAGCCCTAGGTTCCATCCTCAGCACCACATAAATGGTGTAGTGACACAAGCCTATAATCTTAGTACTTGGGAGGTGGAGGCAAGAGGATCAGGAGTTCCAGGTCATCCTTGGCTACCTAGGGAGTTTGAGGCTAGCCTTAGGTATATGAAACCCTGTCTTAGGACTGGAGAGATGGTTCAGCAGTTAAAAGCACTTGCTGCTCTTCTAGAGGGCCCGAGTTTAGTTCCCAGCACCCACAATGAGGGGTTCACAACTGCCTATAACTCCAGCTCCAGGAAATCTGATGCCCCCCAGGCAAACTGCACTCCATGCACATACCCACACACAGACACACAAATATATATACTGTTTAAAAAAAAGGAAATCTACTGGAGAGATGGCTTAGCAGTTAAGAGCAGTGGTGGCTCTTGCAGAAGACACAGGTTTAGTTCCCAGCACCCACATGGTGGCTAACAGCTGTCTGGAACTTCTGACCTCCGTGGGCATTGCATGACACGACAGCTGGGGCTACAGGGAGACCCTAAAAAAAAAAAAAAAAAAAAAAAAAAAAAAAAAAGGAAACCTTATCTCAAAAAACTAAAAAGAAAAAGAAAGGCCTCCCAGAAAGGTCACATTTACTGTCAGTTGAGCTGGGATTTTGGCTCAGCATATAAGAACACTGAGTGTTCTTGCAGAAGACCTGGGTTTGAATCCCAGCACCCACATGGCAGTGAACAACTGTCCGTAACTCCAGTTCCAGGGGATCTGACAGCCTCTTCTGTCCTCCATAGGCATTGTACCACAAGGGTACACTTACCTATATGCAGGCAATACACTCATACACATAAAAATAATAAATAAAATATTTTTAAAATGTTATTTGTATTTTATGTGTATGAGTATTTTGCCCGCATCTAAGAACACCACATGCATGCACTGTCCAGAGCGGCCAGAAGAGGGCATCAGATCACCTGGAACTTGCGTTATAGACAGTTGTTAGGCACCATGTGGGTGCTGAGAACAGTACCTGGGTCCTCTGAAAGAGGAGTCAGGGCTCTTAACTGAGGAGCCATCTCTCCTGTCCCCCAAATCGTTTCTTTACTGGTTGGAGAGTGGAGTTTGGGAACCGGTCAGAGAAAAGTGGTCAAGAATGTGGGATGGTAATGCCTGTATCCATCCCAGGGTGAAGCTGGGGGTCTC